ATACTGGCAACACCCATCCCTGGTCTCAGGCCGGACTCGGGGAGCAGAAAAACTCCCAAAACCCTCTCCAGGTATGCATGGTACAACAGTCATAAATTGAGAATAATGACCACAGTGATAGACCGCTGTCCAAATCCAAACCCCTGTCTCTGCTACCCGGGTTCTCAGTTTCCACTCGCTGGGTTCTCAGTTTTCCAAGCCTGTGGTCCAGAAAATTGCGTCCATGTTGTAATATTCTTGGGATTTTATGGTTGATCGTTCATCTGTAATTTTCAGCATTATTGACCCATAAAATTAGTTTGACGTTTTGAAACTAACTTAACCAAGAAACAAAGGTTCTGTTTTTCATGAATTGTTTAAAGTTGACTTACTTTATGATGCGTTGCTGCATAAAGCACAATTTTTCCTGAGCAAGGGAGTCGTAAGGTAACCTGCGATTTCACCCCAAATGAGTAAATTGTGTACAAGGATTTCTTTTTTAATCTTGGCAGAGAGACACAAAGTTAACATTGTTTACCAATTAACTAAAAACTTTACCTTTAGTACATATTAACAAAATTCTGCAATTATTGGTTACTCCAAATACTGAAACATTTTGTGTGGAACCAGGAAAGATACTTGAACCAAGATGAAAGGTTATATTAAATCAAAATTTTTATTTTGAATTGTGATATTGCAATTTATCTTTTTTAAGCAATTAAAAGTAGCATTAATGTTGAGCAATCTATAACTATAACTTTTGTATTGCTATGCACTTCCACTCTGGCTTTCATGTAGATTGAATTTCTTGCTCCCAGTGTGTGTGTTTTGCGAGCAAGGACAGCTAACGTGTCACTTGTTCTTGCCCTTAAGTTAAAAAACAATATAGTATGCAAGGTTATTATAAAAAAGTTGATATTTCATTCTTTCCTGGAAAAATACCATGCATAATATTCATTACATCCCTGTTATGTGTAGTAAAATTTAATTCCCATCCAGCTATTCCCTGCTTTTACTGTACTGAAAATCTTGTAGGCATGAACACACACACACACACACAATGTGAAACATATAACACAAAACATACAACATACATGGCCATCTACAGCACACACAATGTGAAACATATAACACAAAACATACAGCATACATGGCCATCTACAGCACACACAATGTGAAACATATAACACAAAACATACAACATACATGGCCATCTACAGCACACACAATGTGAAACATATAACACAAAACATACAGCATACATAGCCATCTACAGCACACACAATGTGAAACATATAACACAAAACATACAACATACATGGCCATCTACAGCACACACAACCACATATTCCACAATCCCACACAACACAACCCCATACAACACAATCCCACATGACAATCTGCAATGACAACCCCACACGACAACCTCACATGACAACCTGCAATGACAACCCCACACGACAACCTCGCATGACAACCCCCACACGACAACCACATGCAACACAATCACATAATACAGATGTGAATCCACCTTACAATCACCACACCTAAATTAGTGTAGAATTTTTTATTCCCTCTTAAACTATTTTTTGGCATGCTTTTAACAGTTATGATTAAGGTTTTTTATTACATCAAAAGTAATCTCTTCCACCTACTGATAGATCAATAATCCATCATAAACTTTTAAACATACCTTGATGTTACAATATACCTGGGAGCTGGTGTAAACTAAACATTATCGTATACAGTACGTGTTTTTAGAAGCGACTGAGAGTTGCTTAAATTATGGCAGTTTTTAAGGTAAACTACTGTACTGTGTCTGGTGAATACTAAAATGTCATGCTTCCTCCAGTCTAAAAAATTCACCACAGTTTCATGAAACTTTCATGAACATCTGAGCTTATTGCAACTGTTAAAAAAAAAAAGTCTTGTGCTTTTGAATACTCTACTGTCTTCAGATAAATATACGACTTCAATGCACTATTTACTAAGAATTTTATCCACTCTAGTTAAATCATATTAACAATGTTTAATGCAATGTCAATGAACTATAACACGGGCAACTTAATCAGTAATATCCGACCTGTTCTCTTTAAATATTTGGCTGAAAATATATCCGATATGAATGTTGAACATTACTACTGAGAAGAAGAAGCGTTTGATGCTGTGTATGGCACTGATGATCTGCAAAAGGACAGTACAATAATAATCGCTAATTTGGATACATACCAGCTTATACACTTCTATTCAGTTATTTTATTTTTCATAATATATGATCATTATGTTGGTTGTGTTGATGCAACATGTCCAACATGCAATTAATGCGTCATAGTAACCAACAATTTGATTATTCTAGCTAGCGTAAATTTTCTTAAGGTATCTAAAACGATTATCAAGTTTACTGTCGGATTAGAGATGTTATTGAGTGTTAAAATACATGCAATATCTCCAGGCACTAAAATATTAATAGTAGTAGTTGAACCTTGTGTTTGATGTGCTGAATAGTGTCACTCGGCAATGGCAGATGCCTAGTTGGAAGCACCAACTTGGCCATACCCGAATCTCACTTTACACACCTACACATGCCACCAGCAACAATTGCTTTGTTATCCAGTGGAATAAAATATATGAGAGCCTGGAGATTATCTTGAATAGATGTAGTGTTTTCTTGTACATTTTTTTTTTTCACTTCTCAGTACAGTAATTATTTTGGTTTTATGGTGGTGTGTGAGGCGTGTGCAAAGTGTGGGATGGGTTAGGCTACAGGACTGCACGGGTGAGTGTGGTGGTGGTGTGGGAACCATGAGAACGTCCGCACACTTAACCTCTGAGGAAGAAGCACGACCTCGCAGAGAACATGTAAATCTTGAGAGGACTCCCCGGACTGAGGTAGTCGCTGGCGACGACCTCACGGAACCACAACCTCCAGGGAGACTTACATGAATATTTCACTTCCGAGGCAGAAGGTAAAAACTGACAAGCAAGTTTATGCCATTTTTCTGTACAGTTCTCAAGTTTTTGGGCTCTTTGTATGTAAACAAAAAACAAAAAAGTCATTAATGTCAATAAATTTTCCGATTTTAATAAAAGAATGAATACTTGCATATTCAAATTTCAAGTTCATTAAATATCACTGAGACAGTTTCTGCACCATCACAAGAAAAGGTTGGCAAATTCTTAGGAAGATCAGCCATTTCTAAACGATCTCGTAAAGTGTATCAGAAGAAAAAACAGCCTAGTGGAGGGAAACTACTGCTATTTTGCATGATACCCCTGAGGCACAGGATTTTTGTATTTAGTATGACATGCATGAGAGACTATTTTACTTGTGGCTCAGCCTTAAACTGCATGTACCTCACCCAAAGCTTAGGGATTCCCAGCCTTCTGGTCGGCGCTTGATGGGTGACTTTTCCATGTATAGCCTTGGATTGCATGTATCGCGCCACCTGCACGTAAGTACCAAGCTGATTCATTCTTGTTCATGCACAGTTTATTTCTATTATATACTTCTGTCATATTAATTTCTTCTCTTGACATGCACCCAATGGATCCCACACCATATGTCCTGGACTGCACGCATTTTGGTTACTGCACTCAACTGATACCCTGCACTGTGATTGTCTGCCTGCAATGCACTTCAACTGCACAACCCATTTGCTACCAACAACACTATCCCCACACCTCGCACGCTGACTGGCCACCATTCCCACCTAATTCTTTGTTGCTGCTGCTGCTGCTGCTGCTGCTGCTACTGCTGCTGCTGCTGCTGCTCCATTTACATACCACACATGCTTTTCCTGTATATAACACTGCATGCTATTCTTGCATTTTTTGTAACATACAACATATGTTACTTACAACAAATGTTAAATTTGTCATTAACATCCCCCTGACAAATTTGTAATACATGTGACGCTTCTGGCAACGTTACAATATAACTGTCTCCGTGCTGGACTGCTTGGCATGAACTGTTTGAACGCACAGCTGGCATTCTTCCCAACAATGCTACATCTGTAGTCTACACCGACGAAAACGGTCAGGTACTTACCTGTTATTTTATGGCTAAAATTAAGATCAACTAACATTTGTGCTATGCTTACATTTTCTGTGCATTATGAGTAGGCCTATTTGCTTTTGCCACGCTTTTTCTTAAGTTGTCAATTGCACAAGTTGCAAAATGTATGCATCCCCTCTGATGCTTGATCCACGACTACTTCTGCGGCCCAGGTGTAGCAGCTGGTAAGTACAGTACTAGTGAAGTAACTGATGGTGTTGAAGGTATAGTACTTGAACCATGGCGTGGCATCTTTGGAGACGGCATAATGCACATCATTACTGCAGCAATGCTTGTGATATTGTGGCCAGCCATTATACTCGGCCTAACCCCAAATTATTTAAACTACTTTTAATTAAATTGTTTCTTGAATGTCATTTATTTTATAAGTGCATCGCTTTAGTTTACTCTGCTATCTAGTTTATGAAACTTAATTAACAGACATCTCTTTTACACATCTGATTCCCTGCAGTTAACTGAAGGTGTAATGTGGCTTTGTTGGTTTAGTTTCTTATCGTAATGAAACGGTTGTTTCATTTGTAGTAGTGCAGTATTACAGTATTCATGCAGCAACTGTCATTACCTTGCTTTGGCATAGCAGGTGTGCAAGTCAAAAGTAATATTACTCTCAAATTAGCAATACAGTACTCCAGTGACAAAATTACGTGCATTTAAACAATGCATGATAATACTTCATTTACTTTCTTAAATTTTGAAGAATTTTCCAACTCTTGAAGATTTATTATAGCTTTAATAAGTGAAATTACATGGCAATGCCGTTAACATGGCAGTCGATTACAGAATATACAGTATAACACATCAACCACATCTGCATGAGTTAGTGCCTTTCAGCCAGGCTGTGAGGAAATGCATTAATATCACCCATTCATATTCTCTTTTTATCCACCCTTTGTCTTGCCCTTCTCCATCTATCGACTGAAAATAATGGTCTGCCTCGTGTCTGCAGGCGATGCTGAAGGACACCACACACATGACTGTTGGCTGCCATCCAAGGGTCATGTGATGCGATATCACCCGTAGTGAGTTTTCTCACAGAAGAGTTGCTTCTTCATATGAATTGAACTGACCCAAGCTATTCTAGACTAAACTAACCAAATACTGTACTGCATAATATGAAACCGCATCTAATATAACAAAAATACTATTACTGTATAAGGGCAGCAGCTATCCTTCCCTGCCAAAATAAAAAATTCAGAATCTTAGGTTCAGTTCAAATACTGCCATGCACGAAGAGGTGTGAGAAACTCGTTACTGAGGGCATAAGGTTACTGTTAAAACATATTCCCTATCACTTTTACACATCTTTAAAAACAATTCAATTAGTCTCTCTTTATTACAAAGGAATTCAACCAGAAACAGACCATTCTATCCAAACAAGGATGTTTGTTGGTAGAAAGAGTGCAAACATAATAAGATTGATTTAAGAAGTAATTCTTAATGCTATTTTTAAATAGATACACAGTATTACACTGAATTATATAATTTGGTAAGTTTTCCATGCAAGTAAAGTACTGCAAAAGCATTTTGTTTCATTTGGCTGAAATCATTTGCCTTCAATTTAATAGGCATTTTTTTCTAGCAATATTAGATCATGCAAAATTAAAGTATTTTTGAGGAGTAAAAATTGTCATGCAGTTTAATGATATTAAGTACTTGTATTAAATCACCTTGTTTTTCAGTTCTTAAAACTGAATAAATTCAGCTCTTTTAAATGGGCTTTATGTGATTCATTTGTAAGGCTTGCTTTCATTTTTGTTGACACTGAACACCCACTAATTTAGCAATATTCTTTCTCAAGTATAGTTACCAAAACCTTGATTCAATATTCCAGTAAAGGATGTTATAGTGAATTGCACAGAGTGAGACTAACTTTCTAAGATGTAAACTCACATCTTCTAATGAAATCCAATGTTCTACTGGCTTCCTGTACAGCTTCACTGCACTGTTTACTTGGCTTCAGATCATCAATCACTATCACTCCCAGATCTTTTTCTCGACTTACTCTTATCAGCTCTGTGTTGTTCATCCTTTTGTTTTGTTTCCAATATGTATTATTCTACAATTATCAGCATTAAAATTCATCAGCCATTCATTAGACCAATTCACTAAGCTGTTTAAGTTGCCCTGTATTCTCCGTCACTCTGTTAATGTTGTAACTTTACTTCCTAGTTTAGTGTTGTCAACAAATTTAAATACTGGAATGAGTAAGCCACTACTGATATCATTTACATACAGGTAAATAAAAAAGATAACTGGTCTCAAAGCCGACACCATGGCATTTGTAACGTCTATTCATCCTGATACATTTCTACTTAAAACTACAAACTTTGTAGAATGACTTGCCCCATTTTGGTATTGGCAAATTAAAATTGTCAACTATAACGACTTCACATTTATTGCATATTTCTGCAATTTGATCATGCTGTATATTTATTGATTAATGATAAATGGTTGAGCAAATGGCCTGTACATTATTCTTAAAATTACTTTATTATTCTACTGCATGTTGATTATCTTTGAGTTATGTTAACTATTATTAACTATCCATGGTAAAGTGGCTTTTTGTACTCCCAGTACCTACTATTTAGCTTCACCATATGTTTAATAATAAATTACAAAAAAATACATGTGCAGTCCTTCCTGCACAATTTTAGGTTGTTTTAATTAACTTCTGCCATGATACACGGTAATATCAGTCATTAACATATCTTTTTATGAGGCTATTGCAATAACTGACAACAAATAATCTGTCTGATCTTACAGAAATACTGTATACAGGTAATATTGCCAACCAATTGCACTATTTGTGACTTAAAAAGTAAAATAAAATAAAATCATCAGTAACTTATTTTCTTTGGGTCATCCCAATCTCCCTAGTTACCATTTTTCCCATTAAGAATAAAAATTCAAGCAAAATTGCAAGGCCAGTGAAGGAAAGAACCCCGAGTCACCCGATTATCTAACTGCCAGACTCTGCAGTTTCTTAATGGAGTCTTTATTTCTTGGAAAGACAAAAAGATGCTTCAATCTTGAAAAAATGGCAGTAGAGCTGAGAGGCATATGGTTTTACAACGTAAACTTAGGCTATCGCTGATGAAAGACGTTACAAACTTTACCCTGTTAGGAAAGTTTCTGGGAAGGGTTTGCTATGTACACTTATTCATGCCAGACAACATCCCCACCCCACACTCAAGTAGCCAATATTTTCACAAACATTAATTTCTCATTTTGTAAGCAAGGCATGAAATACCTAATATCCAGTACATGTAAGATGAGACTGCTTAAGCTGAGTATTTTCGTACATTTTGTATCTGGTTCTAATGGCATATCACAAGTTTGATGCATATCATTCATGATTGCATGACAATTCATTAGTTTTTTTAATATTCATGAGTGAAGTTCTATGATGTGTATAAGTTGTTTTGTGTTATACTTCAATCTTTGATGCACCTACCCCATGTCTTTCTTTAAACGTTTTCATATTTAATAGCTTATCCCAAGTTGGTAGCTTAACTATATCTAACACCCAGTCCCTTGTAATCTCTGCCTGTCTGCATGCCTGATAGCTTTTACTTATCTGGTAGTATCTCTATGTCTGATAGCCATCCTGTTCCTGTTTTATTGCCTCTTTCTACCTAGTATTTTGTTCAGATAGCCTTGCTTTGTGTGTCTGCTTGGTAGCCTTTGCTTGCCTAGTTGACAGTATCTACCCAAATGGTAGGCCATCTCTTGCTGCCTGGAAATCTGTTTCATTTTTGTTGGCAGGGTGTATCTATCTGACTAGTAACCTTCTCCTAGCTACTTGCCTGGTAAACTTCCCCTACCTCCTGCCTAGTAGCCTTTCACATCCCCAAATGGAAGACTTTATTGCCTTACCTGCTGGCCTCTTGTCTGCTTGTGTGATAGCCTCTACCTAACCTCGTACCTGGTGGCTTCTTCTCTCCCTGTTTATTAGTCTATTCTTATATCTCCACTTGGTAGCCAAGCCTAATCCTCTTGCCGCCGACATCCCTCATTTTGGAATTCTTGACAAATTCTGATAATGAGTGAACATCATTACACTTTATCAGGTAATTACTGTATTAATATCTTAAGGCTTGAAGACCTTTAATAATGCTTGGTACTAAGATTAGAGGTGGTGATGAAGGATATACAGTACTAGCCTAGAGTACACTTTGGCTTCAATCTTCCTTGCTATATTTGAATTGCTTATATAATCACAGTATGCCAAGTATGCCAAAGTATGACACACATGAATTTTACTGACAGAAATAAGTTATGATTAGTGAGATAATTATCTTCATATGTAGCAGAGATGTGCCACCACATTCCATAAGACCATTATACAATGCTATAGAACCATTACATAGAGCTCTGAGATGTGCATAAGACACTTCAGTGAACCACATATGCTTCAGCCAGCCTTTGCATGTAATGCTGATAGCTATTGATTTTCTAGTGTTGCTTTCTGGTAGTTAATTTTTATTTTACCTGTAGTTCATTAGATGACACTGATGCTCTTGTTTAACAAATGGTAAATTTCACAACTTGCATGCAGTAAGAAATTAATCAATGCCACTCCATGGTTCAGAGATGTATCCATAATTGTGTGTTCTTGTGTGCATGCATGTGTGACTGTGTACATATGTGCATGCACATGCTTGCAACACAGATATTGGGAGTGAGAGTGACTGATATATAGTATACAGTAACCTCTCCCATATATACAGTATATCTAAATCAATTTAATTGCCAGAGTTGTCTAACAAGCTGAATTTCTTTCAATATTACATTTCACCATTTTTACTCTATGTATTTATATTTTAATTTACATAAAATGGATTTTGATTAACTTGAGCTGAAATCAACTCGACATCTTGACATGACCTATATGTTCACAAGGACAAATTAATTTATAAAAAGATGCTTGAAAATACTATAAAAAATTGCCTTGGCTGTTAGGCAAAATGGTCTTTGCATGCTAGTTCTAGTACTGCATTTCTATATACAGTATTAGAAATATACATATTTTAATACAGTATATATTCCTCTATATTAGTCGAGATATATTGTATATAAACATGTATACAGTATGTTCTTGATTTTTGTATATATATATATATATATATATATATATATATATATATGTCGTACCTAGTAGCCAGAACGCACTTCTCAGCCTACTATGCAAGGCCCAATTTGCCTAATAAGCCAAGTTTTCCTGAATTAATTGTTTTTCAACTACCTAACCTACCTAACCTAACCTAACCTAACTTTTTCGGCTACCTAACATAACCTAACCTATTAAGATAGGTTAGGTTAGGTTAGGTAGGGTTGGTTAGGTTCGGTCATATATCTACGTTAATTTTAACTCCAATAAAAAAAAATTGACCACATACATAATGAAATGGGTAGCTTTATCATTTCATAAGAAAAAAATTAGAGAAAATATATTAATTCAGGAAAACTTGGCTTATTAGGCAAATCGGGCCTTGCATAGTAGGCTGTAAAGTGCGTTCTGGCTACTAGGTACGACATATATATATATATATATATATATATATATATATATATATATATATATATATATATATATATATATATATATATATATATATATATATATATATATATATATATATATATATATATATATATATATATATATATATATGAGACAATGTCAGACCACAAAGGAAGGATTAAGACAGTAATTTGCTTAAGTACTTTCGTATTTAATAATACATCTTCAGAAGGATTCATTTACAATTAAGTGGTGTGGATATATAGGGAGGAATGAGGTGAGGTGAGGTGGGAAACAATGTCTTTAATGAGATAAGGGGATAGTAATATGGTATTAATGAGATAAATGTATTTATGATCCCAGTCAAATTGCCCTTTAACTGATCAATCAAAAATGGATCTAAATTATACAAACCACTACTAATGTTCAAATTACATGATTTTGTAATCTATATTAAAGCAGATTCAATAATGTTTCTATTGAAAATTAGTTTAC